TTGTTAGTACTAGTAAGGCACTTGTTACTAGTAGCGATGCACTTGTTCCTAGTAGCGTCCTTGCTCCAAGTAGTAAGGCCAGGAGCCCCTAGTAGCTTCTTGCTACTAGACAGCTTGCTCTGGAAAGCTTTGTGGATTTTAGAGATGTGCATCAAGAACATCAGTGTGTGCATCAGTTTTGGACAGTTGTGTTTGGGGCTTTTCCCACCCCTGTTCCCACCATGTGTCAATTCACAGGACCAGGGTTGCTTAACGAGGTCAGACAGACTGGCTGCTTCCAATTGATTGTGATTCAATCCTGATGACGTACCAGGGACAACGGATCGGGATCCTAAAATGTTTAGACCATCCAAAAAGGCTTCTCAAAGCAGCTTTTTAGAGTGTCTTAGGCATTCGTACCTCCGTGACTGCATTCTTGGGCCACTTTCTCGCTTCCGATTTTGTACAAGATCCATTTGCACCTAATTGAAGTCTACGAAAACCCTCTCTACGACACAAAAGACCCAAGTGTGCGTCGCCTCAGGTGGTGAGCGCCAAAGTCATGAAGGAGTCACCGGGCCGAATTTGTGTAACAAGGACGCTACTAGGGGCTCCTGGCCTTACTACTAGTAACAAGAAGCTATTAGAAACAAGAAATAAATAGAATTTACAGTAATTAGAATTAGTTTAATTAGAATTGAATTAGAATTAGTAGCAAAGGAGCTACTAGGACCAATTCGCGCGCGCGGGGGGGGGTAGGAGCAAGGACGCTACTAGAAAACCATCAGCCGAATTTGTGCCTTAGGAGAGGGAGGGACCTCCGCAAAAGGAACCTACTAGCAGCCTCCAACCTAGTAGCGAGGGCCTCTGAGGAGAGCCTTAGGAACTAGAGATTCTTTTGTTTTCTCTTCTTCACGTACCTTCAGTGAAAGTGCAGGTCCCTATGATTCACCCCGCAAGTGGTGCATAAAGACATGGCTCCACCAAGAGGGGCTCAACGCTGTTCAACTATTTTGTCCCCTGTTCCAACTGTTCGTTCCAACAGTTCCAGTCAACTAAAGAAAAGGCCTTACCAACCAAGCTAATGCAAGATATGATCCTAGAAAGGGTCTGGGAGCTTCTTTTGAGTTATAAATAGAACAGAAAGTATCTATCTCCAACAAACAACTATTAGGTTCTTCCCCCATTAGGTTGGA